GGAGGTAATTTTAAAAATAGTTCCAAAGTTTCATCATCTTCCAGAAGACGATATAATTCAGGATGAAGCTTTATATCAATTTTATTCAATATACCAATCTTAATGATTTGCCAAATAAGACCCAAAATTAAATGTTCTCTGCCTTCAATTAAATCAGCTGAACCAATATTTACAACATTACAACCGATTCCTTTTGCTGAAAAAATTACTAAGTTATTATTTTCAATCATTTGAAACTTATTGATTTTCTTTCCTTTTTTAAAAACATTAAGTACACGTTCATCAATTGTATCAGGTACTGAATTATTTATAAGTTTGGCAAGAAGTAAACCATCTAATAATAATAATTATTGCATAGTTATAGTTATTGTTATAGTTGTAAGTATTACAATGTCAATAATAATAATCATCATATCATATCATGGCCATTTTTATTACCTCTGCATTCATCAAATAATTGCATATTCGAGATGTTAATTGGCAATTTATCAGCAAGATCTGGATCTCCAGATAATGTTTGGTTCATATGTCTTGTGAATTCAGTTCTTTCATCCTCGTTTATTGTATGTGAAACATTTTGACTTGATCCATGAACGGTGATTTTATGTTTGTTAACTGCAAATGCACTTTTATTACGTCCTGACCTTAGTTTTGCAATTGTCTAAATGTTTGGAATTAAATATATGCTTAATATAAATGTAAATTATCTATTATTATTATCATCATCAAATAAACAACACGTTGTATTTATATATTTACTTCGACAAATTCCTCAAGTTCAACTTTACCCGTAGAACTTAAGTCTATTTCTTTTAAAGTTGCTCTTATCTCATCATATGAACTACTTTCGCCCATATCTTGCAGGGCTTTCAGAACTTCTTTTTGTTCAAGCGCTCCATTACCATCAATGTCTAATTGACTTTATATTTTCCAATTTTTTAAATTTTAATTGTAATATTCATGCAAAACAAATCAGAAAAAAAACAGCATAGCTTACTTGAATTGAGCAGTAATTTGAAGTATGTCGTGTTGAGGAATTTGAGGAAACTTTTTGGCCAATTG